TTTACCTAATGCAATGCATGGTTTGTCTCTTGACTGCTACTTTCATGAAAATGATTGTGGATCCAAGCTTGCTGAAATCCTTGACAGCTTCCATCTTTTCTTCATTTATCATGTTACCTATTTGTTAGTTGTAAAGATTTTTGTTTTCTTTACAGTGAGCAGTGACCCATACTGAAGATTGAATCTTTGATCTTCGTCAGCAAGTGCTCAGTCCTTTCAGCAAGCAAGGCTGTGCCATCTGCATATTGCAGGCTGTTAGTAAACCTCCCTCCAATCCTCATGCTGAGTTCTTTATATAATCCAGCTGCTCTAATGATTTGTTCAACATACAGATTGAATGAGTACGGTGAAAGGATACAACCTTGATGCACGCCTTTCCTAATTTTAAAAAGTATGCAGTATTCCCATCTTCTGCGACCTGATCGCCTGGCTAGACTCCACCCTTCCATAAATTGACACCAGATTATATAACTACCACATCATTTTGGAAGGTTTGAACATTACATAGTCTGTAAAGCTGGAGCCAGGAGAGTGGACATGAAGTAAGACCACACAACCCAGAGAAGAATTCCTTCATACCATAATCTTAGTTTCTTATTCAAGAGTCAATTAAATGTCTGTCAGGTTATGTTCACCAGAAGCTGTAGGGGACACAATTGAATATGAAACCCACTAAACCTGGCCCTCACAGTGGGCCCATCATCTAGCAGAGGCTGAGTGGGCTGCACGGGAGTGCTGTACAGAGTCCCAAGTGGTCAAATTCTTCTTATTTCCATGGAAGCAAATCTATTATAAATGAATGAATTGAAATTAGAAAAGATTGCTTGTCAACTCTTTCAGAAAAACATTTGTGACCAAGATATTGAGTGTGATATGCCCTGTGCCTTTAGGCCTCCGATTGCTTTACTCTTGAGGAACTGTTCTGGAGCTTGGTCTTCCCTAATAGGTATTTTCTTTTTGTTCCGGTCTGTGCCTGCTTTTCACGGGGCATGCTCGCTTTTGTATAGAAGGAGCACATGCCTTTTCTC